TGATTTCATTGTTTATCCAGTCAACATTCAAGAGCCAGTTGTTCAGTTTCCATGAAGCTGTGCGGTTCTGAGTTAGTTTCTGAATTCTGAGTTCTAACTTGATTGCACTATGGTCTGAGAGACTGTTTGTTATGATTTCCATTCTTTTGCATTTGCTGAGGAGTGATTTACTTCCAATTATGTGGTCAATTTTAGAGTAGGTGTGATGTGGTGCTAAGAAGAATGTATATTCTGTGGATTTGGAGTGGAGAGTTCTGTAGATGTCTATTAGGTTTGCCTGGTCGAGATCTAATTTCAAGTCCTGAATATCTTTGTTAATTTTCTGTCTCATTGATCTACTATTGACAGTGGAGTGTTAAAGTCTCCCACTATTATTATGTGGGAGTCTAAGTCTCTTATTAGGTCATTAAGAACTTGCTTCATGTATCTGGGTGCTCCTGTATTGGGTGTATATATATTTAGGATCATTAGCTCTTCTTCTTGCATTGATACTTTTACCATCATGTAATGCCCTTCTTTGACTCTTTTGATCTTTTTTGGTTTAAAGTCTATTTTATCAGAGACTAGGATTGCAAATCCTGCTTTTTTTGCTCTCCATTTGCTTGGTAAATCTTCCTCCATCCCCTTATTGAGCCTATGTGTGTCCTTGCATGTGAGATGGGTTTCCTGGATACAGTACACTGATGGGTTTTGACTTTTTATCCAATTTGCCAGTCTGTATCTTTTGATTGGGACATTTAGCCCACTTACATTTAAGGTTAATATTGTTATGTGTGAATTTGATCCTGCCATCTTGATGCTAGCTGGTTGTTTTGCCCATTAGTTAACACATTAGTTTCTTCATTGTGTTGATGCTGTTTACCATTTGGTATGTTTTTGGAGTGCCTGGTACTGGTTGTTCCTTTCTATGTTTAGTTACCATTTGGTACATTTTTGTAGTGGCTGTTACTGGCTGTTCCTTTCCATGTTTAGTACCTACTTCCTTCAGGAGTTCTTGTAAGGCAGGTCTTGTAGCAACAAAATCTCTCAGCAATCGCTTGTCCATAAAGGATTTTATTTTTCCTTCACTCGTGAAGCTTAGTTTGGCTGGATATGAAATTCTGGGTTGAAAGTTCTTTCCTTTAAGGATGTTGAATATTGGCCCCCACTCCTTTCTAGCTTGTATAGTTTCTGCCAAGAGATCCACTGTGAGTCTGATGGTCTTTCCTTTGTAGGTGACTTGACCTTTCTCTCTGGCTGCCCTTAGGATTTTTTCCTTCATTTCAACCCTGGTGAATCTGATGATTATGTGCCTTGGGGTTTCTCTTCTTGAGGAATATCTTTGTGGTGTTCTCTGTATTTCCTGGATTTGAATGTTGGCCTGCCTTTTTAGGTTGGGGAAGTTCTCTTGGATAATATCCTGAAGAGTGTTTTCCAACTTGGATTCATTCTCCCCATCATATTCAGGTATGCCAATCAAGCATAGATTAGGTCTTCTCACATAATCCCATGGTTCTTTGAGGCTTTGTTCATTTCTTTTCATTCTTTGTCTCTAATCTTGCCTTCTCATTTTATTTCATTAATTTGATCTTCTGTCTCTGATATCCTTTCTTCTGTTTGATCGATTTGGCTGTTGAAACTTGTGCATGACCCATGGAGTTCTTGTGCTGTGTTTTTCAGCTCCATCAAGTCATTATGTTCTTCTCTAAGCTGGTTATTCTAGTTAGCATTTCGTCTAACCATTTTTCAAGTTCTTAGTTACTTTGCATTAGGTTAGAACATGGTCTTTTAACTCAGAGAAATTTGTTACTATCCACCGTCTGAAGCCTGCTTCTGTCAATTCATCACACTCATTTTCTGTCTTGCTTTGTTCTCTTGATGGTAAGGAGTTGTGATCCCTGGGAGGGGAAGAGGTGTTCTGATCTTTGAAGGTTTCATCCTTTTTGTGCTGGTTTTTTCCCATCTTCATGGATTTATCTCCCTTTGATCTTTGAAGTTGTTGATTTTGGGAGAAATCTCTGAGTGGACGTCCTTTCTGTTGCAGTTGGAGCTATATCTTTTTTGGCCTGTAGAGGCGCTACTGGGCTGCCTCAGATTCAGTCAGGTTGCTGGGTGAGTGGTCTTCCCCTGGGGTTTGTTTGCAGGTGAAATTAGCCCCACGTTCCCAATAGCATCTCTCCTTCCCTGAGCTCAATCTTCCTGGTTTGTTTTTGTTTTTTTGAGACAGAGCCTCATTCTGTCACCAGACCAGAGTGCAATGGTGCGATCTCGGCTCGCTGCAATCTTCACCTCCCAGTTTCAAGCAATTCTCCTGCCTCAACCTCCTGAGTAGCTGGGACTACAAGCCCGCACCACCACGCCCAACTAATTTTTGTATTTTTAGTAGAGACGGGGTTTCACCATGTTGGCCAGGATGGTCTCGATCTCTTGACCTCCTGATGCACCTGCCTCAGCCTCCCAAAGTGCTGGGATTATAGGCATGAGCCACTGTGCCCAGCCTAATTTTTGTACTTAAAGTATATCTCTAATCAGACTGACTCCTGAGGGTTGTTTTTTAAATTTTATTTTTTGACATAATTCTAGCAAGATTTATAGTCTCTTTCTACCAAATAGGGTAAGATAGTCTAGTGTTATCCTTGCATTATTTTCCTGCCTGAGACCTGGAAACAGTCATTTCTTCAGGATTATTCCTTCATTTCTTGAAAAAAATGGCATTTAGAGACTATAATCTAGGTGCTTAGGGGTACTGTTGCTTCCAAGTTAATCACTGTTTCAAGGCCTTTTCAGTGAGCACAGCTTTTTGGGAAAGGTGTAGGCAGGGCCAAATATTTTTGCATGTGATGTCCAATTGTTCCAATATTCCTGCTACTTTGGATCGTCTTTGCTACTTTGTCAAAGATCTGTGAATTTTTTTTCTGAGCTGTTGATTCTGTTTCATTGATATATGTCTATTCTTTCACCAGTACCACACTGTCTTGATAAGTGTAGCTTTATATCAAGTCTTGAAGTTGGGTAGCATCAGTCCTCTCAACTTTCAGTCTCCTACCACAGCAAAATATTTTGCCCACAGTGTTTCTACTATCTTAGGTGTCTCATCACTATCTGGAAGCTGACAATGGCTTTCCAGAACTTTTATTATTTTTTTTCCAAGAGGGAGTCTCACTCTGTCACCCAGGCTAGAGTGCAGTGGTACAATCTCAGCTCACTGCAGCGGCCACCTCCTGGGTGCAAGTGATTTTCCTGCCTTAGTCCTCAGCCTCCTGAGTAGCACATGCCACCATGCCTGGTTAATTTTTGTATTTTTTTAGTAGAGATGTTGGCCAGGCTTGTCTCAAACTCCTGGCTTCAAGTGATCTGTCCACCTCAGCCTCCCAAAGTGCTAGGATTACAAGTAGTAAGCTACCGCATCCGGACACTTTCCAGACCTTTTAAAAGCTGCCATCAGGGGCCGGGCGCAGTGACTCACGCCTGTAATCCCAGCACTTTGGGAGGCCGAGGCGGGTGGATCACGAGGTCAAGAGATCGAGACCATCCCGGTCAACATGGCGAAACCCCATCTCTACTAAAAATACAAAAAATTAGCTGGGCATGGTGGCACGTGCCTGTAATCCCAGCTACTCAGGAGGCTGAGGCAGGAGAATTGCCTGAACCCAGGAGGCAGAGGTTGCGGTGAGCCGAGATCGTGCCATTGCACTCCAGCCTGGGTAACAAGAGCGGAACTCCGTCTCAAAAAAAAAAAGCTGCCATCAGAATAATTCTGCAGGGAAAGCTGACTTACCTCAGCTCCTTTACATTATATTTCACACTCTATATTCCTGGGGGAGGGGGACTCTTCCCCTTCTTTATGATGACTTATTCTCCTACTGATATGGTTTGGATATTTGTCCCTTCCAAAACTCATGTTGAAATATAATCTCCAGGGTTAGAGGTGGGGGCTGGTGTGAGGTGTTTGGATCATGGGAATGGATATCCCTCCTGAATGTCTTAGCACCATCCCTTTGGTGATGAGTGGGGCTTTTGTTTTGTTTTGTTTTTTGTTTTGAGACAGAGTCTTGCTCTGTCAGCCAGGCTGGAATGCAGTAGCACCATCTCAGCTCACTGCAACCTCCATTTCCCAGGCTCAAGCAATTCTTCTGCCTCAGCCTCCCAGGGAGCTGGGATTACAGGTGTGAGCCACCACACCTGGCTAATTTTTATATTTTTAGTAGAGATGGGGTTTCACCACGTTGGCCAGGCTGGTCTTGAACTCCTGACCTCAGGTAATCTACCTGCCTTGGGCTCCCAAAGTGCTGGGATTACAGGGATGAGCCACCATGCTGGCTGAGTGAGTTCTGGCTCGCAGTTCATACAAGATCTGCCTGGTTCAAAGTGTGTGGCACCTCCCTCCTCTCTTTCCCCTCACTCTCTTGCTCCCTTCTCTTGCCATGTGACACGCTGCTCATCTTTGCCTTCCATTGTGATGCCAAGCTCCCTGAGGCTCCCATCGGAAGCAGATGTTGGCACCACACTTCCTGTACAGCCTGCAGAACCAAACCATGAGGCAAAATAAACATTTTCTCTATAAATCACCCAACTTTAGGTATTCCTTTATAGCAATGCAGGAATGAACGAATATATCTACCTCTAGGTCTTTGTCCAAGCTTCCCAACTGATATGGACCTACCTGACTTCTTCTGTCCATGCCACCCAACCTCCCCCTTCTTCGAGTGGCATCATATAGTCACTTTTTCCAGCAAGATTCTGAAATTGGTACAGCTGTAGCCTAGTAGCCTCCAGTGTTATTTCTTAACCTCCATTCCCTTTCAGAACACCACTGAGGTTTGCAATGAATTGTCTGCCTTATTAGACAGTAATACCCCCAAACTGCTTTTGAAATATGTAACCCCAGGTATCTTGTGCCATGCTTTGCACTCCAAGAGCACTTACTATAAAGCTGTGGCCAAACTAACCATATGTAGAATACACACACCCAGATTCCAACAAGGGTTTACTGGGAAGAGAGAGGAAAAAAACACAATAACTTTGTTCCACACTTCATTTACTGAACTGGGGCAGGTGATTTAACAGTGGATTAGGAGATAAGGCTGGGAGAGAAGAGTTCTTGCTTCTCCTCCCAGGAGCCACTTGTGTCACGGATGCCTGTAAATTTTCCAAAATAGCCATCTGTTGTCGGGCGAGCTGGGTCTGAAGCTGGAGGTTGGCATACATACATTCCAGGAGTCCTAGGCATTCCTTGGGCTTGTGAACAACTCCAGAAGGAACAGCAATGGAGGCGCAAGGGGACAAAGGAGGGAGATTTTATAATTGTCCTGAGGTTGGAAGGACCCTAATAAAATGACCTCTCCAATCTTTCCAGGCACAACCCCACCCAGACACACCTTTGCCCAGCTGTCACCTCCCAGTGAGGCATACCTGGCTATCCTACTTTAATTTGAAATTGATCACTGGAACTTATTACCCCCTCGTTTTCCTTTTCCCATAATATTTACGGTCGGCCAGGCGCAGTGGTTCATGCCTGTAATCTCAGTACTTTGGGAGGCAGGAAGATCACCTGAGGTCAGGAGGAGACCAGCTTAGCCAACAAGGTGAAACCCTGCTTCTACTAAAAATATAAAAATCGGGTGCGGTGACTCACGCCTGTAATCCCAGCACTTTGGGAGGCAGAGGCGGGTGGATCAACAAGGTCAAGAGATCGAGACCATCCTGGTCAACAAGGTGAAACCCCGTCTCTACTGAAAATACAAAAATTAGCTGGGCGCGGTGGCGCATGCCTGTAATCCCAGCTACTCAGGAGGCTGAGGCAGGAGAATTGCCTGAACCCAGGAGGCAGAGGTTGCAGTGAGCGGAGATCGTGCCATTGCACTCCAGCCTGGGTAACAAGAGCGGAACTCCATCTCAAACAAACAAACAAAAAAAATCAGCCAGGTGTGGTGGCACCAAGCTACTCTGGAGGCTGAAGCAGGAGAATCGCTTGAACCTGGGAGTTGGAGGTTGCAGTGAGACAAGATCTCACCACTGTGCTCCAGCCTGGGCAACAGAGCAAGACTCCGTCTCAAAAAAAAAAAAAGTATGGTCATATGGCATATTTTGTAATTACTTATTTAATTTTTGTCTAAGACCCCCGTCTAGAATGTAAACTACAGGAAGGCAAGGATTTTTCTGATTTGTTCACTACTTTATCCCAGCACCTAGAAAAATGCCCAGCACATAAATATAACAAATATGAGCAGGGTGAGGTGGCTCACGCCTGTAATCCCAGCACTTTGGGAGGCTGAGGCAGGTGGATCACCTGAGGTCGGGAGTTCGAGACCAGCCTGACCAACGTAGAGAAACCCCATCTATAAAAACAAACAAACAAATATGGTCCGGCACAGTGGCTCATGCCTATAATCCCAGCTCTTTGAGAGGATGAAGCAGGCAGATCAAGAGGTCAAGAGATCAAGACCATCCTGGCCAACACAGTGAAACCTTGTCTCTACTAAAAATACAAAAATGAGCTGGGCATGATGGCATGCACCTATAGTCCCAGCTACTCGGGAGGCTGAGGCAGGAGAATCCCTTGAACCCAGGAGGCGGAGGTTGAAGTGAGCCGAGATCACGCCACTGCACTCCAGTCTGGCAACAAAGTAAGAGACTGTCTTGAAAAAATAAATGTGTAACAAGTATTTGATGAGTGAATGAAATGGTCTGGGAGGGAGGCCTAACTCCTAGAGCTCAGGGGATACCTCAGCCTCCATCTGTTACCTGACATAGTGTCTCATTAGCAGTGACCTGAAGTTCCCTAACTTCAACCATTCTTGCTGCATCAGTCCATTCTTTTTTTTTTTTTTTTTTTTTGAGATGGAGTTTCGCTCTTTACCCAGGCTGGAGTGCAATGGCGCGATCTCTGCTCACCACAACCTCTGCCTCCTGGGTTCAGGCAATTCTCCTGCCTCAGCCTCCTGAGTAGCTGGGATTACAGGCACGCGCCACCATGCCCAGCTAATTTTTTGTATTTTTAGTAGAGACAGGGTTTCACCTTGTTGACCAGGATGGTCTCGATCTCTTGACCTCGTGATCCACCCGCCTCGGCCTCCCAAAGTGCTGGGATTATAGGCGTGAGCCACCGCGCCCAGCCTTTTTTTTCTTGGAGATGGAGTTTCACTTGTTGCCCGGGCTGGAGTGCGATCTTGGCTCACTACAACCTCTGCCTCCTGGGTTCAAGCAATTCTCTTGCCCCTCTCAGCCTCCGAAGCAGCTGGGATTACAAGCAGCTGCCACCATGCCCAGCTAATTTTGTATTTTTAATAGAGACAGGGTTTCACCATGTTTCCCAGGCTAGTCTACCTCCTGACCTGAGGTGACCCATCAACCTCAGCCTCCCACAGTGCTGGGATTACAGGCGTGAGCCACGGCACCCGGCTGGCTAATTTTTTTTTTAAGAGAGTCTCACTCTGTCACCCAGGCTGGAGTGCAGTGCGATGGCACAATCTCAGCTCACTGCAACCTCCACCTCCCGGGTTCAAGTGATTCTCCTACCTCAGCCTCCTGAGTAGCTGGGACTACAGGTACGTGCCACCACACCTGGCTAATTTTTGTATTTTTAGTAGAGATGGGGTTTCCCCGTGTTGGCCAGGCTGGTCTCAAACTCCTGACATGATCCACCCACCTCAGCCTCCAAAGGGCTTGGATTACAGGAGTGAGTCTTTTCTTTCTTTCTTTCTTTCTTTTTTGAAATGGAGTCTCACTCTGTAGCCCAGGCTGGAGTGCGGTGGCGCGAACTCGACTCACTGAAACCTCTGCCTCCTGGGTCCCAGTTCAAGCAATTCTCCTGACTCAGCCTCCCAAGTAGCTGGGATTACAGGCATGAATCACCATGCCTAGCTAATTTTTGTATTTTTTAGTAGAGACAGGGTTACACCATGTTGGCCAGTCTGGTCTTGAACTCCTAACCTTGTGATCCGACCGCCTTGGCCTCCCAAAGGGCTGAGATTACAAGCGTGAGCTACCGCGCCCGGCTTTTTTTTTTTTTTTTGGACAGAGCCTTGCTTTGTCTCCCAGGCTGGAGTGCAGTGGCACAATCCTGCTCACTGCAACCCCCATCTCCCAGGTTCAAACAATTCTCCTGCCTCAGCCTCCTAAGTAGCTGAGATTACAGGCAGGCACCACCATGCCCGGCTAATTTTTGTATTAGTAGTAGAGACAGGGTTTCACCATGTTGCCCAGGCTGGTCTCAAACTCCTGACCTGGTCCACCCACCTCAGCCTTCCAAAGTGCTGGGATCATAGGCATGAGCCACGGTGCCCAGCCACTTTTTCTAATATTTTTAAGCTACACTATACACAGCCAGTTAACCTTGGTAATTATATTATCTGCTGTTTGTTTTTTATTAGTCTTTTCTTTCTTTCTTTTTTTTTGAGACGGAGTATTGCTCTTGTTACCCAGGCTAGAGTGCGATAGCACAATCTCGGCTCACCACAACCTCCGCCTCCTGGGTTCAAGCAATTCTCCTGCCTCAGCCTCCCGAGTAGCTGGGACTACAGGCGCGCACCACCATGCCCAGCTAATTTTTGTATTTTTAGTAGAGACGGGGTTTCACCATGTTGATCAGGATGGTCTCGATCTTTTGACCTCGTGATCCACCCGCCTCGGCCTCCCAAAGTGCTGGGATTATAGGCGTGAGCCACCGCGCCTGGCCTAGTCTTGACTTCTTTGTTGGACTCTGAGGTCCTTAAAAACAGGGGTTTTACTGTCTGGTTAGTGCCCAGTTGGGTTCCCTATAGGTATGCCAAATACCCACTGACCTCTCCAGGGGAAAATAAATGATGAAAATTCTAAGAACTTGAGACTGAGCTAATAACTACATTTCCTTCTCTGGCCATCTTTTTTTCTTTTCTTTGAGATGGGGTTTCACTGTTGTCATCCAGGCTGGAGTGTAGTGGCGTGATCTCGGCTCAATGCAACCTCTGCCTCCTGGTTCAAGCGATTCTCCTGCCTCAGCCTCTCAAGTAGCTGGGACTGTGTAACACCCAGCTCAACTGATTTTTTGTATTTTTAGTAGAGATGGGATTTCACCTTGTTGGCCAGGCTGGTCTCTAACTGCTGACCTCAGGTGATCCACCCACTTCGGCCTCCCAAAGTGTTGGGATTACAGGCATGAGCCACCACTCCTGGCCCCCTTTTTAAAACAATTTTACCTACTCAAGTGAACAAGAGTAAACCTGGCCATCTTTTAACATTACCGGTAAGCAATGAGAGGTTCACTTCACTCCTGCCTAGTCTAGCAAGCAAGGAAACAATACAAATTGGTAGAACTGGGATGAAAATTAAATCAATAAAACTAAATAATCAACAAGCTACCAGGGAAAAATCCAGAGATGCCTTCACATAGATTTGGCTCTTGATCAGTAGAAGACAACTCGAATCCAGAGATGCCTTAACATAGGTTTGGCTCTTGATCTATAGAAGACAGCTCAACGCCTCCTCCATAAAACCCTTCTCCCTGCTAAATCCATTGGAAAACTCTCCCTACATCCTTACCTGAGGGCAGCTTTGTTGCCTGGATATTCAGAAAAGTGGCTGGTGGGGAACTTGCTTGAAGATTAATGTAGCTGGGGGAGGGTTTTGCTCTACAAAGAGGCACAGCATTAGCTTCCTCCTTGGCTGGAACTAAATCAGAGGGAACTAAATCAGAGCTCATTCCAAAAAGGGACAGTCTTTCTAATTAGATCCCTGCACCTGGTCCATGAAGCAAGTGCCCAGGCCCTGCCCTGAATATGTTACATATCAGAAAGACACATAAGAAAAAAACAGGCCAGGTGTGGTGGCTCACGCCTGTAATCCAAGCACTTTGGAGGCCAAGGTGGGTGGATCACCTGAGGTCGGGAGCTCAAGACCAGCCTGACCAACATGGTGAAACCCCGTCTTTAAAAAAAAAAAGAAAGAAAGAAAAAAGAAAAAAAAATCATAGTAGGATTAAGACAAACCAAGGGAGTGGGATCAGCTAAAATCTCATTTGTTTACAAGCCACTTATCTATTTATTTATCGAGGCAGACAGAGTTTTGCTCTTTTTGCCCAGGCTGGAGTGTGATGGCATGATCTTGGCTCACTGCAACCTCTGCCTCCTGGGTTCAAGCAATTCTCCTGCGTCAACCTCCCAAGTAGCTGGGATTACAGGTGTGCACCACCACGCCCAGATATTTGGTAGAGATGGGGTTTCTCCATGCTGGTCAGGCTGGTCTTGAACTCCTGACCTCCAGTGATCAGCTGACCTCAGCTTCCCAAAGTGCTGAAATTATAGGTGTGGGCCACCTAGCCCAGCTGTTTACAAGTTCTTACTGACAAGGACTACAGGCTTGCAGTTACTAAATCCTAGGGTATACATGAGATGTGTAAGACGTGGTTTCTTAGGTGCTTTTAACTAGTTACAGAGACAAATCAGACACAGGTGAAACAATGATCTTACAAGGACATAAACAGTGAGTCTGATAGCCTGGGGTGGAAATAAAAGCTTTTCATCTGTTAGTTATACATGTGATTAAATGTAAAAATGGATCACCTGACGTCAGGACTTCGAGACCAGCCTGACCAACATGGATAAACCCCATCTCTACTAATAAATACAAAATTAGCTGGGCATGGTGGCTCATGCCTGTAATCCCAACTATTAGAGAGGCTGAAGCAGGAGAATTGCTTGAACCCAGGAGGCAGGGGTTGTGGTGAGCTGAGATCGCGCCACCGCACTCCAGAGCGAAACTCCATATAAAAAAAAAAAAAAAAGTAGAAATCAATGTTTTACAAAAGGGAGAAGAGATCAACTATGAGTAGTGAGAGAAGGCTCCCTGCAGGTAGAGCATATTTCCTGAACCTTAAAAACTTGAGAAGTGGTTGGGCGCAGTGGCTCACACCTGTAATCCCAGTACTTTGGGAGGCTAAAGTGGGCAGATCACCTGAGGTCAGGAGTTCAAGACTAGCCTGACCAACACGGTAAAACTCCATCTATACTAAAAATACAAAATTAGCCGGGCATGGTGGTGGGCACCTGTAATCCCAGCTACTTGGGAGGCTGAGGCAGGGGAATTGCTTGAACCCGGGAGGCAGATATTGCAGCGAGCCGAGATCACGTCACCGCACTCCAGCCTGGGCAATAAGAGTGAAACTCCATCTCAAAACAACAACAAAAAGAAAAACAAAAAAAAAACCTCAAGAAGTCAGGCTATACTGGTGAGACCACAATCAAGCCCTTTTCCCCAACAAGGATTGGCCTGTGACCCAGTACAGGCCAATCATGGTGTTCCCATCCACCTTGGCAACTGTGACTAAGCCAGGGCGGTATGTGCATGAGCTAACTTGGGTCAAAGTCATTCCTTGGGATCAATATATGGATTCCATGTCAAATAAATTTACTTTCTTCTGATTTCCTATTCTGAGAAGATATATGGGTGGAACCAATGAAAGCTAATTGGCTAACATACCATGAGAAGTGGATAAAAGTGGCCGGGTACGGTGGCTCACACCTGTAATCTCAGCACTTTGGGAGGCCAAGGTGGGCGAATCATCAGAGGTCAGGAGTTCAAGACCAGCCTGGCCAACACAATGAAACCCTGTCTTAAAATACAAAAAAAAAGAAGTGGATAAAAGCAAGAGATTAGACACAAGAAAAAGCACAGGAGAAAGACAGATGAATACAGAGACACCAACAGGCACTGAATCCCCAGTTTTAGTCCCCAAGGCCCTGGTTTTTGCAGCTCTTCTTCCCATTACTCTGTGAGCTACTTCAGCATCTCTCCCAATTGCACAAACCTCTGAATTGCTTTTACTTGAAGAAGTCTGAGTAAAACTCAACTCTCAGGCCGGGCGCGGTGGCTCGCGCCTGTAATCCCAGCACGTAGGGAGGCCAAGGCGGGTGGATCACGAGGTCAAGAGATCGAGACCATCCTGGTCAACATGGTGAAATCCCATCTCTACTAAAAATACAAAAAATTAGCCGGGCATGGTGGTGCGCGCCTGTAATCCTAGCTACTCAGGAGGCTGAGGCAGGAGAATTGCCTGAACCCAGGAGGCGAAGGTTGCGGTGAGCCGAGATCACGCCATTGCACTCCAGTCTGAGTAACAACAGTGAAACTCCATCTCAAAAATAAATAAAATTTAAAAAAGAAAGGTCAAACTGCCAGGTCAGCCTCAAAAAGGGGACGAAGAAGCTGCAAAAATACATTCACTCTCCAAGGTAAAAAGCAGAGGGAAAAACAACCTTTAAGGAATTCCTCCTCAGGGGTGTAGAAGATGAAAAGGAAGTGGCAAAGTAGACAGAAGAGCAATGGATGGAAAGTCAGACAGCTCAAACTAGGTAAGAATTAAAAAGGTAAGGCAGGCCGGGCGCAGTGGCTCACACCTATAAGCCTATAATCCCAGCACTTTGGGAGGCTGAGGCGGGTGGATCACGAGGTCAAGAGATCGAGACCATCCTGGTCAACAAGGTGAAACCCCATCTCTACTAAAAATACAAAAATTAGCTGGGCATGGTGGTGCATGCCTGTAGTCCCAGCTACTCAGGAGGCTGAGGCAGGAGAATTGCTTGAACCCAGGAGGCGGAGGTTGCGGTGAGCTGAGATCGCGTCATTGCACTTCAGTCTGGGTAATAACAGCAAAACTCCATCTCAAAAAAAAAAAAAAGGCAAGGCAGTAGGGAGACAATAATTCACTGTTAGAGTGAAATCAAGAAAGGACGGAAAAACAATTCCTTTTCATTCACACATGTAAGAGACAGCTAAGTGCCTGCTATGTATCAGTCACCGGGGATAGCACAGTTTGCTAAACAGAAGTGAGTCTCGATGTACAGTCATTAGGTAATCAAGCACACAGGCTATTCCACCTCAGTATGTGCTATGAAAGCTGACCTAGTCTGCAGAGCTAGAAAACATATCCTGAGGAAGTGATATCTCACCTGGAATCTGAAGGATAGAAAGCGGCCTCTTTATAAAAACCAAGCCTGGGGGGCAGAGATGTGAACAGTAGGCTGTATGAAGGAAGACGTCTTATTTTTGTTCTTTACTCAGAGGGCGAAAGAAGGAATGGCCTGGTAAGAGGAAGAAGTGCTCACATGTGGGTGCCAGGGTGAGAGGCTTTCTGTCTGGAAGGTCACCGAGCCTATGAAAACTGAAATCTGTTCTCTGTCTGTCACTCTTGGTGAGGGAAATATTTTTTTGGGTTTTGTTTTTTTTTTCTTTTGCACAGGGCTACTGGGTTTGTGGATTTTCCAAGCTCTACTGGTAGGTCCTCCATCTTCTTTTCCCTCCTGCTCAAGAATCATCAGTTATTTGATGGCTTGTGCAGAATGTGGTAAAGAGATAGAAGCTGAAACTCAAGGTCTCAAGATTCTTCTCAATAATGTGTTAATTTCCATGCAAAATGTGTTCATTTCCATGCAAACGCACTTTAAATAATTTGAGCCCTTCCTGGACATATGAGGATGCATTTTATACTGGGTTATAAGGTTTGAAGAATGCTTTACACATTTTTAGACAAGGTGGTATGAGAAATTAAAAATTGCTGGCCGGGCACAGTGGCTCACGCCTGTAATCCCAGCACTTTGGGAGGCAAAGGCGGGTGGATCACGAGGTCAAGATATCGAGACCATCCTGGTCAACATGGTGAAACCCCGTCTCTATTAAAGATACAAAAAGTTAGCTGGGCATGGTGGCGCATGCCTTGTAATCCCAGCTACTCAGGAGGCTGAGGCAGGAGAATTGCCTGAACCCAGGAGGCGGAGGTTGGGGTGAGCCGAGATCGCGCCATAGCACTCCAGCCTGGGTAACAACAGTGAAACTCCGTCTCAAAAAAAAAAAAATTGTTTTTAATTTAATTAATTAATTAATTTTTTTAAAAGAGGGGGTTTCACCATGTTGGTTAGGCTAGTCTTGAACTCCCAACCTCAGGTGATCCACCTGCCTTGGCCTCCAAAGTGCTTGGAGCCACCGCACCCGGCCTGTTTTTAATTTTAAAAAAGAGAATGTTAGGCCGGGCGCAGTGGCTCACGCCTATAATCCCAACACTTTGGGAGGCAAAGGCGGGTGGATCACTAGGTCAAGAGATCGAGACCATCCTGGTCAACATGGTGAAACCCCATCTCTACTAAAAATACAAAAATTATCTGGGCATGGTGGTGTGTGCCTGTAGTCCCAGCTACTCGGGAGGCTGAGGCAGGAGAATTGCTTGAACCCAGGAGGCAGAGGTTGCGGTGAGCTGAGATCGCGCCATTGCACTCCAGCCTGGGTAACAAGAGCGAAACTCCGTCTCAAAAATAAATAAATAAAATTTTAAAAATCAAATAAAAAAGAGAATGTTTTACACATACTCTATACTAAAGGAGCTGTATTTCTGACAGACAATGTATACAGAGGATGAGGGTGGAGAGGCAAAAGGAGGCAGAACAGAGGAAATGATTATAGAAGGTGCTTTACATACATCATCTTACATGTTTTTCACGATGACCCTTGAAGTAGGGTCATAGTGGATGCCACAGTCTGCTAAACAGATGGGGTCACTACTCTCCTGGAACTGAGAGTCTTGCAGTTTAGAGTCTTAGGTGACGAAGCCACACACACTATTGCACTTCAGTAAGTGCTATGAGAGCAAATGACCCAGTCTGTGGAACTGGGGAACATGACTGAGGAAGGTAAAGTAGGCAGCTTTACCTACATTTTACTTGAGGAAACTTAAGTCAGGAAATTTGCTCAAGATTCCACAGTCAATATATGGCTGCATGAATAATTTTTTTGTTTGTTTGGTTTGGTTTTGTTGAGACCGTTTCGCTCTTGTTACCCAGGCTGGAGTGCAATGGCAGGATCTCGGCTCACCACAACCTCTGCCTCCTGGGTTCAAGCAATTCTCCTGCCTCAGCTTCCCAAGTAGCTGGGATTACAAGCATGCGTCACCACTTCCAGCTAATTTTTTTTTTTTTTGAGATGGAGTTTCGCTCTTGTTACCCGCGCTGGAGTGCAATAGCGCGATCTCAGCTCACCGCAACCTCCGCCTCCTGGGTTCAGGCAATTCTGCTTCAGCCTCCTGAGTAGCTGGGATTACAGGCACGTGCCACCATGCCCAGCTAATTTTTTGTATTTTTAGTAGAGACGGGGTTTCACCATGTTGACCAGGATGGTCTCGATCTCTTGACCTCATTGTCCACCCGCTTCAGCCTCCCAAAGTGCTGGGATTACAGGCTTGAGCCACTGCACCCGACTAATTTTGTATTTTTAATAGAGATGGGGTTTCTCCATGTTGGTCAGACTGGTCTCGAACTCCCGACCTCAGTTGATCTGCCTGCCTAGGCCTCCCAAAGTGCTGGGATTACAGGCATGAGCCACCGTGACCAGCTGAATAATATTTTTTCAGTTAGGTCTAGCTTTATATCCTTAGCCCATCCCTTGGTAGCAGTTAATTTAAATGTTTCAATCTGTTGTGGAGGTAATAGCATTTTCTTTTTTTTTTTAACCCCACCCCTCAATAGCATTTTCTAGTAGAATTGTGAGCATTAAGTGGTAAACTGGCCTGGCACAGTGGCTCACGCCTGTAATCCCAGCACTTTGGGAGGCCAAGGTGGGCAGATCACTTGAGGCCAGGAGTTCAAGACCTGGCATAACTCTGTCTCTACTAAAAATACAAAAATTAGCCAGGCGTGGTGGTGTACGCCTGTAATCTCAGCTACATTGGTGGTTGAGGCACAAGAATCGCTTCAATCTGGGAAGCAGAAGTTGCGGTGATCCCAAGTAGGTAAACTGCTTAAGAGAGTCTGGCAAATAGCAGCTGGAATTAAATCTGGTCCTGCAGACTCCAAAGTCATGCTCTTTACCACTGCACTATATACTCTGTGAAAAGAGCTAGTTAATTTATGTTTAAGCTATGGAATAGTAGGTCTTTCAGATAATCTATTCCACCTATAGTTAAGTGAATAGGTTCTGGAGTCAGAAGGTCTCAGGCATCTCCCTGGCCACCAATGGGACTGTCCCATTCCAATTCAGTATCTGTTCACTCTGGTTAACACCATGTCCTCTAAGATACTGTACATAGCCTTGTTCTAAGTATTAAGAGGAGATACAAAGGAAGAATCATACATTCATTTAACAATTACTGAGCATCTACTATTTAACAGATCCGGTTCTAGGTGCTGGAAATAAATACAGCAATGCTCCCATTTAGTGGGGAATGCAAAGGAAGTCTGGCTTTTTTTTTTTTTTTTGGAGATGGAATCTCACTCTGTCGCCCAGGCTGGAGTGCAGTGGCACAATCGCAGCTCAATGCAACCTCTGCCTCCTGGGTTCAAGCAATTCTCCCACTTCAGCCTTCTGAGTAGCCGGGATTACAGGCATGTGCCACCATGTCCGGCTAATTTTTTTGTATTTTAGTAGAGACAGGGTTTCACTGTGTTGACCAGGCTGGTCTTGAACTCCTGACCTCATGATCCGCCCGACTCGGCCTCCCAAAGTGCTGGGATTACAGGCATGAGCCACCCCACCTGGCCAAGAGGTCTGGCTTTTTAAGGAAGGGGAAGCAGGGCCTCCAACACACACCTTTTCTGTTAGGATGACTAGTGTGCTGCTCCATCTGAACACCAACAGGTGTGGTGCCTGGGAAAGAATCATAGCATCACATGATCAACAATCCGTGCTAGTATTTCCATTATTGGTAATTTCCTAAATTATCTCCATCAGATCTCAGGCCGTTCCAATTTGGGGAGGAAAAAGTAGGAAACTCTATTTCATGGCCAAACATGTTTCTTGAACTGTTCATGCTCTCACAGTCCCTTCACGAGTTTGGAAAACAGTTATTTCTATACTAGTGCTTCCTTTTTTTTTCTGGACAAAATAGTAATTTAACCAAACCCAAACCTTAAATGTCTCTGACGAATGGGCAACTACTTTCCGTGTTCTCACCAAGTTTAATTTACGCGGTATGATGAGTCCTGCTCCTGTCCCGAATGGTAATTTTAAAACTCTGGCTCCCCATCATCTCTAACCAAGACTGAGTGAGGAGAATGGGAGAGGGATGGATGCGGGAAAAGATCTCAAAGCACCACAGGGAATACTTATTTTTATTTATTTATTTATTTTTTTTTTTTGAGACGGAGTCTTGCTTTGTCGCCCAGGCTGGAGTGCAATGGCGCGATCTTGGCTCACTGCAACCTCCGCCTCCCGGGTTCAAGAGATTCTCCTGCCTCAGCCTCCCAAGTAGCTGGTATTACAGGCACCGCAGGCCACCATGGCAGGCTAATTTTTGTATTTATAGTAGAGACGGGTTTCACCAAGTTGACCAGGCTGGTCTCAAACTCCTGACCTCAGTTGATCCACCCGCCTTAGCCTCCCAAAGTTCTGGGATTACAGGCGTGTGCCACTGCGCCCGGCCTAATTTCTGTACTTTTAGTACAGACGGGTTTCACCATGTTGGCCAGGCTGGTCTCGAACTCCTGACCTCAGGTGATCCACCCACCTCGGCCTCCCAAAATGCTGGGATTACAGGAGTGAGCCACAGTGCCCGGCGGGAATACTTGAGAAAACATTTTAGATAGGATAACTTAAGGAAACGCAAGCCATCACCCTCCAGTATTGTTCATAGCCTCAGATGAAAGCATTTCCTAAGAAGGAAAAAGTCTGCATACAGCCATTAGTCCAGAGGCCATAAACCAAAACTCCCAGTGTGCCCGGAAAAAGAATGCCCAGCCCGGCCCGGTAAGACTACAACTCCCACTTCACCCTGCGCCAAGCCGGCCATGTCTTCCCCCATCTGCTGGCTGGAGTCCCGCCTCTCTAGTCCACCTGTTGCTAAGGCTGGAACAAGTCAAGCCTTCTTAGCCTTCACGGTCGGATATGAACCGAGTCGTAACAAACAGTTTAATGACCTCACCTGCGGTGTTAACCGAAAGCCGCAAACCCAGCACCCGCCCTTAGAGTTGACACACATGCGCAGTGGCGTGCCAGAGCCTTGGCGCCTGCGCCGTCGTTCGCGCCGCACGCGGCGGGGAGAGGCCACCCTATTGCGCAAGCGCCTGTGCCCTCCTAGTGCCTCCATAGTGCTCTCTCTGTCTAACTTGTCTGGCCGTTCTTGCGTAGGGGGCGGAACTAAGGCTGTCAATTGGTCTGTTTTTCTGCCGGTCAATGAGATGGGTGCGGTGATTGGCAGCTACCTTGAGAGTAGCGTGTTAACGTGTAAGCCCTGAGGAGGCAGCGTTTTTTGGGCTTCTGTCTGGTTCTCTCTCTCCAGAAGGTTCTGTCGGTTCCCCCAGTTCTGGGTACCCGGCTCTGCATCGCGCCGCCATGATGGGCCATCGTCCCGTGCTCGTGCTCAGTGAGTTTTGGGGATGCCAGGGAAGGGACCCCTTTTCGCCCTCCTGTGTCCATACTTTTCAGTGCCGCACCAGCTCCGTCCCGCCCTGACCCGGCCACTGAACCTTCCAGTTATCATCTTCATTTTGGAAGCCCGGTGTACCGCTTTCCTCTCTTCCCTTAACCTATTTGCCTCCTTCCACAAACTCAAACTGATCTTCCCCTTCCCGAGCCTCTTTTCTTGACGTGTGCTCATCTTGGGAAGCTCTTTCCCACGCGTTCCGTACCTCATCCCCCACGCTTCCCCCGCCCCTGCACGCTTTCTTGCCTGATTGTCGCTGTACAGCTACAAGAATAATACGTTGGGTTTTTTGTTTTTTTTTCATTTAGATCTAGCCTTATATCCTCGGCCCATCCCTTAGTAGCGGTAATTTAAATGTTTCCATCTGTATTACGGAGTTAATAGTATTTCCTAGTAGAATTGTGAGAATTAAAAGATAAGTAGGTAAACTGCTTAAAGAGGGTCTTGTAAATAGGTAATATCCTTGGTCACTGTATGTTACATTTCTTTTCAGTAACAGTCGCTTGAACAGCAACCCCTGCTCCTGAAGTAACTGTACTTGCTTTACTGATCTTAGATGTAATCGTTCCCTCCGGGTCCCCGTGGTTTTAATCTTTCCCACTAAACAGTTGGGTTTTCCCAAATTTCTCGATTGGTCATCTTTTCCCTTTGGAAGATTTCTCATTTTTTTCTTATTTTTTGAGATGGAGTCTCATTCTGTCATCCAGACTGGAGTGCAGTGGTGCGATCTCAGCTCCCTGCAACCTCTGCCTCCCGGGTTCAAGCGATTCTGCCTCGGCCTCCCGAATAGCTGGGATTACAGGCACGCGCCACCACACCCAGTTACTTTTTGTATTTTTGATAGAGATGGAGTTTCACCATGGTGGCCAGGCTGGTCTCGAACTCCTGAGCTTAGGTGATCCGCCCACCTTGGCCTCCCAAAGTTCTGGGATTACAGGCGTGGGCCACCGCGCCCGGCCCCTTATTTTTTTTGTAGCGAGCACCACCTCCATTGTCTTTCTTTGATGTGTTTCCGTTCTATGTATAACTTCCGTATCTCATCTGCAGGAACAGCTAGGATGCCCGACGAACCATCTCCTCTCCCTTACCATCTTCTGTATAATGAATGCCGTTCAGAGTTTTTATTCATTATCTCTGTACCTGAGAAATAACTTTTCGGGTGGGGGAGGGGGGGGACCTCATTCTTTCTGATGGATGGTAGGTCCATGCAGGTTTTTGGTTACAGCTGCCTGAGAAGATGTAAATCCTAAGGATTGTGGATGTTTTGGTTTGATGGGACTAGACTAAAAGCTGTAGAGACTTAAGTTGTAAGGGAATGTAATTTGGAGAGGGGAAGGAAATAAACATCATATTGGTTTGGTTACAACCACTGGCTTGTCTCCACTGAGATGGGCTGGGGGTGAGTGGTATATTTGCAAGGCTCCTTTCAGGTCTGCATTTGTCTCTGGCATTAGTCGGCTGTGACCGATTAGGCTCCCAGTTAAAATAAATGGTCAGCTCTTAGTGATGGTAAATGGATTACTGAGGCCTTCTTGTTACATCCAATTATGGAGTGACTATATAATTTATTTTACAAACTGTTCAGTGTGTTCTAAACAGTATTCTGTGGGGGCACTATCAATAATTATGTTGGACCTATTAGTGTATGATCCCCCTATCCAAACTGAAAATGAATCCCCAAACACTTTCCCTGCTTACATAAGCAATGATTGGTCATTTCTTAGGATCCCCAGCCGTTTGAGAATCTAATGATAGCTGTGGATCCTCTTTCCGGAAAAAAAAATTGCAATCTCTCATTTTCTCACAGAGTCTCAGTGAGTTCACTATCCCATTAACGCCTTAACGCCCATTCATAGATCTCAGATTATGAATCCCTGTTGTAAATACATGAATATTTTTCTTCTTTTTTTTCCTCTTTTTTATTTTCTTTTTTTTGTTTTGTTTTGTTTGTTTGTTTGTTTCCGTTTTTATTTTGCTTTTTCTAATACATGAATATTTGGTTAAAAGGAAAGTATTCCTTTTAAGGAAATAACAAGATTCCAAAGTTATTCCTTAATATATTGAGGGTTGAAATAAAGAAGTTAACAGCCATAAAGACATGTTTACAGTTTTTTTGAGTTATGGTTGACATATAATAAACTGCACATATTTAAAATGTAGAGTTTGATAAGCTTTGCTTTGTGCATACACCATGAAACCTGCATTCTTATTTTTCAAAGACTGGGAAATAAATAACTTGTATATGATGGGGCAGTCCTGGGCTGTTGACTCTTGTGTCTTTATCTATTTTAGGCCAGAACACAAAGCGTGAATCCGGAAGAAAAGTTCAATCTGGAAACATCAATGCTGCCAAGGTCACAAATCTTGTTTTGTTCTGTTTTTTGCCCTTCTGATTGTAAGTCATAAATCTTTTAAGTGTTTATGGTAGTTTGCCTCCAGCTATCTTCCCTGGTATTTGGTGATCACTGTGTGTCCTGTGCATCTAGATTCATATAGAGTATGCAAATAGGCAGAGGAAAAGGTGACCTCTTCTTTCAGAACATTTTCCTGTTGATGGTAGGGGAAAGGAAGCCCTCCCCTTCTGAGTTAGGATTGATAATTTTCTCATTAACTTATGCATAATTCTGTTGCTGTGTATTGTTTTATAGCATTCTGTTTGTGTCTGTCTCCCATACTAAACTGAGTTACTCTCTAATAAAGAAAGATTTTATTAATTCCCTTTTGTATTCCTAGTGCCCAGTGTAGATCTTGGACAGATATTTGGTAAATGTCTTTTGAATGAAATAGTGAAGTTAGCCGTCTTTCTGATTTAGGGTGGTGTGGAGGCCACTGTCATAGAAAGAAATACTAAGACATGGACTTGTAGTAATTAGGACTACCGGGAAACAGAAGGTCTGGGAGCCATTTCCCCCTTTGTCTTGTGTGAAAATTCATTTCTTTCTTTTTTTTTTTTTAGACAGAGTCTTGCTTTGTTGCCAGCCTGGAGTGCAGTGGCACAATCTCGGCTCACCGCAGCCTACATCCCCTAGGTTCAAGCGATTCTCCTGCCTCAGCCTCCTGAGTAGCTGGAACTACAGGCGTGCGATACCATGCACGCTTAGCTAAATTTTGTATGGTAGAGATGGGATTTCACCATGTTGGCCAGGATGGTCTCAATCTCTTGACCTCATGGATCTGCCTGCCTCGGCCTCCCCAAGTGCTGGGATTACAGGCGTGAGCCACCACACTCAGCTTGTGAAAATTCATTTCTATATCCATCCTGAAACCTATTCCCAAGGGGAGAAAAACAACAGGAGCTAGCCTGCATGGTAGATCTAGTGCTAAAGCTAGTGGTATGCTATGTCTGAAGTGATTCCTTTTCTTTTTTATTTTTTAACTTTTTTTTTTTTTTTTTTTTTTTTAAGAGAGAGGATTTCACCATCTTGGCCAGGCTGGTCTCAAACTCCTGACCTCAGGTGATCCACCCACCTTGGCCTCCCAAAGTACTAGGATTACAGGCGTGAGCCACCACTCCCAGCCATCTGAAGTGATTCCTAACCATACTTTAGGGTGTCACTAAAACACTGGCTCTGGTGGGGCGCTGTGGCTCATGCCTGTAATCCCTGAGCTTTGGGAGGCTGAGGCACGTGGACCATTTGAGATCAGGGCTTTGAGATCAGCCTAGCAAACATGGTAAAACTCTGTCTCTACTGAAGATACTAAAATAAATTAGCCAGACCTGGTAGCATGTGACTATAGTCCTAGCTACTTGGAAGGCTGAGTCAGGAGAATTGCTGAAGCCTAGGAGGTAGAGGTTGCAGTGGGCTGAGATCTCACCACTGTACTCCTGGATGATACAGTGAGATCTGTCTCAAAAAAATTAAGTGATTGCCAACAGTATTTTAAGGGTGTCATTAAAACACTGACTCTGGCTGGGCACAGTGGCTCACGCCTGTAATCCCAACACTTTGGGAGGCCAAGGTGGGTGGATGACTTGGGCCCAGGAGTTTGAGACCAGCCTGAGCAGCATACTGAGATTCCGTATCTAAAATTAAAATGAAATTAAAATAAAACACTGGCTCTGTGGGTTGTTCATGCCCCTTTCCCCTATCGCTCCAACATTCTCACACTGTCCTCTGATTTGTGCTTGCCTATTTTATCTTGTCTTTCCATTAGACTATTGCAGATATCATCCGAACATGTTTGGGACCCAAGTCCATGATGAAGGTAGGCTTATCTCTCCCTAAAACTCTTAGACTACAGATTTTTCTTCCTGTTATCTAGGACACTTTAAATAGAACTTTTGCTTTTATCTTAGATGCTATTGGACCCAATGGGAGGCATCGTGATGACCAATGATGGCAACGCCATTCTTCGAGAGGTGTGTTTTATTTTTGGTTTTGTTTTTTTTTTTGCTTTCTGACAGTTTTATAAACATAAAGGACCTATTAAGATACAAGCTCTGATTAGTTTTTTAGGGCTGCTATAACAGATTGCCAGAAGCTGGTTGGCTTCAACAACATAAATTTATTACCTTGCAGAATGAAGCTAGAAGTCTGAAATATAGGTATCAGGAGAGCCATGCTCCTTCTGAAGTCTCTAGGGAAGAATCCTTTTCTTTTAGCTTCTCATGGTTGCTGGCTTTCCTTGGCGTGAACTTGATCCCTGCCTCAGTCCTCATGTTATTCCCCTTGGGTGTCCCTTATACAAGGACATAGGTGATTGGACTTGGAGCCCACCCTAATTCAGAATGACCTTATCTGACTTGGTTGCATCTGCAAAAACCCTA